ATTTCCTTGGATAGGGCTTGCTACAGCTGCTACAGGAAATGCGGTGTTTTTCCCAGGTTAATGGAGTTATGCCCCCAGAAGGATTATGGCTGCCTCTGTGGTGTCATGCAGGTTGTCAGGGAAGTTGGGGAGAGCCAGCAGTTACATACCTCACCCAGCTTCCATGCAACCCAAAAGGTCAGTCTCATTCCCACTGTACCCCACACCCCAACAGCACTGAGATTTTTCCAGCCAGTGGGTGAGCAGGGCTGAGTACTTGCCCCAAGCTACCAGCCTCCCGGCTGATAAAGTGAGCAGGGTTTTGGTGCCGTCCTGCCTGTAGAGTCTGCACACCAGATTCATGCCCTCCCGGAGTTCTTGCCAGGAGACTTTGTGTTCAGCTGGAATTGTTACAAAGTTCAGCTGGAGGTTTCCTTCCTCCTGTGGTCTTTTCCAAGTACTTCTGGCAGCTCTCCCCAAAAACACCTTCGAGGCAAGTATGAAATTGCTTCCCAGGGGACCCAGAAGGCCCACAAGGTTTTTTCTGTTGTTTCCTCTACCCCTGTATTTTACTCACTCTCTAAACTGCTCAGCTCCAGGTAAGGTCAGATCCTTCTCCCGTGACCTAGACATTCAGGTTCCCCAGTAAGGTTATGTGTTTGGGGGTGGGTGATCCCTTTTTTCCACGTTCACAGATTGGGCACTCCCAGTATTTGGGCTGTCTCCCAGGTCCTGCAGGAGCAATCCACTTTCTTCAGAGGGTCTGTGGGTTCTCTCAGCTTTCCTGGTTTATTCCTGCAGTAGTTCTGGAGCAAAAGTTCACGATGCAAGTCTCCACACACTGCTTTGTCTGTCCTAGTGGGAGCTGCAATCTGGTTCTGCCTCCTGAATGCTATTTTTTTTTTTTTTTCAAAAAGGTGGTTTGTAAATTTCTCTTTATTTTTTACTAAATTAGAAAATTCAAAGCCAAAATGTTAGGTCAGGAATAAAAACAAGCATCAGGTGAGAGGGTGTTTAGCATAATGGTTAATATAGTGAAACTCAGAATCAGGTGGTTTCTGATTGCATCCCAGTTCTGCCACTTATGGGCTGTATGACGTATATACAGTTTCTTGACCTCTCTTTGTTTGACTTTTCAATGGTTCAGCGAAAATAATAGTCATAAATGCTAGGGTTTTTGTAAAATTTAAGCAATTAAAACAAAGATGTCCAAAGAGTACCCAGAACATAGCAAGTGTACAAGAAACTTATTAGCTCTTATTTGTCAATTCTGTTAGATCATGATTAATGTTAAGCCTGAAAACAAGGTCCCTACATCAGTGGTTTGTAACCCATGTCTATTCTAGTCAGTCTGGGGCTATAATGCTAGTCAAATATTTTTAATACTATCCTTTTATTTAAAAAAGCATAATAGTATTTTTGATTGACATATCAAAGTTGCATACAGTTCTGGAGTACAATGTGATGCTTGAATATATTATACATATATATATACACACACATATGTAATATGGAATGATTAAATCAAGTTAAATAACATATCTATGAACTTGCTTACCTATTGTTTTTTGTCATGAGACACTTGAAATTTACTTTTAGTTATTTTAAAATACACAATACATTATTGTTTACTATAGTCATCCTGCTGTGCAATAGATCTCAAAACCTACTGAAACTTTGTACCCTTTGATGAACAACTCCCTGTTTTCTTCCCACCATACTCAGCCTCTGCTAAAGATGATTTTACTTTCTACTTTCTTGAGTTAAACTTTATTCTATATATAAATGAGGTCATGCAATATCTGTCTTTCTGTGTCAGGGTTATACCATCTAGTGTAATGTCTTCCGAATTTATATTGTTTGAAATTATGAGATTTACCCCTTTTTAAGGCTGAATAGTATTCCATTGTGTATCTACGCCACATTTGTTTTTCAAAAAAATAATTTAAGGCCAGGCATGGTGGCTTATGCCTGTAATCCCAGCACTTTGGGAGGCTGAGGCGGGCGGATCACGGGGTCAGGAGACCATCCTGACCCACATGGTGAAACGCCAATTCTACTAAAAATACAAAAATTAGCTGGGTGTGGTGGCATGCACCTGTAATCCCAGCTACTTGGGAGGCTGAGGCAGGAGAATGGCTTGAACCCAGGAGGCAGAGATTGCAGTGAGCCAAGATCACACCACTGCACTCCAGCCTGGTGACAGAGCGAGACTCTGTCCCCCCAAAAATTAAATATATTCATCTATTGTTGAAAAACTCATGTTATGGAAGGATATTTCTGTGTTAAAACATGTATTAATATAATTCAGCATATACATATATTATTAATAATAGCTAATTTGTACTGAGCATGAGCCATAACACAATTTATGTGTTAATAAATTTAATGCTCATAGTAACTGAATAACAGGTATTATTATTATCCTCATTTTACAGAGAAAAAAACAAAGCCAAGGAGAAAAATGACTTGCTTACTATACCAAAGCCAATATTAAACCACAGGCAACTTTGTCTCCAGAGATAAACCAATAAAACAATAAAAACCCTCTTCAAACAGAAAAATTAATTTTATATATGTATGTGTAGATATATTTTGAGATGGAGTTTTGCTCTCGTTCCCCAGGTTGGAGTGCAATGGTACAATCTTGGCTTACCTGCAACCTCTGCCTCCTGGGTTCAAGCAATTCTCCTGCCTCAGCCTCCCGAGTAGCTAGGACTACAGGCATGTGCCACCACGCCCAGCTAATTTTTGTATTTTGAATAGAGACGGGGTTTCACCATGTTAGATTGGATGGTCTCAATTTCTTAACCTCGTCCCGCCTCGGCCGCCCAAAGTGCTGAGATTACAGGCATGAGCCTCTGCACCCGGCTCACAAAATTATTTTTGACATTAATTTTTAAATAAAAGTTAACCAGAATTGAATAATTGGATACATTTTCATTGTCCTATGTACTTGTGAATGTATAAAATGGTACATAAGTGAGAAATAAGCCAGTAAAAGGATAAGTTAGTTAATATTTCAATGAATAAAATTGGAAAGTAGTTAATTATTATTTGCAGATGATATTTTTGTTTGCTTAGATGACAAAAGCAACTAAAAGACTATTTTAAAAGTCTATTCAGGTGCCTAGGCAAAATTCTAAGATGATCCTCAGGATTCCCAGTTTGTTGCACACCTGCTGTGTAATCCTTTTCTTAAGTGTAAAAAAAAAAGTGTGACTGTGGTGGAAAATCACTCATGAAATTAGGTTACTAATGTGTTGCCTTTGTGTTCATCAAAAGGGAGATTATCCTGATTGGGCTAAACTAAATCAGTGGTGCTTTTAAAAGAAAGGGACACATCCTGGGCATGGTGGCTCACGCCTGTAACCCTAGCGCTTTTGGGAGGCCTAGGTGGGCACATCATGAGGTCAAGAGATGGAGACCATCCTGGCCAACATGGTAAAAATACAAAAATTAGCTGCGCGTGGTGGCACGTGCCTGTAGTCTCAGCTATTTGGGTGCCTGAGTCAGGAGAATCTCTTGAACCTGGGAGGTGGAAGTTGTGGTGAGCCAAGATCGTGCCATTGCATTCCAGCCTGGTGACAGAGTGACACTCCTTCTCAAAAACAAAACAAAACAAAGCAAGACAAAAAAGAAAAAAAAAAAAAAAGGGACACATCAGAGAAAAACACCCCTGCTGGTCTGGAAGTAAGTGACTTCCAGGTGGGCTAGCTAAACTGCTTATGGAGGCCACATGGCAGGAAATACATTTGTATCTTTTCATTATTCCTGGCTCCCACATGTTGCTTCCAGTAGGGAGGACAGGAGGATCCCATGGATCCTCCCCATGGCAGAGGAAAGAAGAGGGGGTTCTCATTCATTCAATAAATAATCACCTGATGATCTGAGATAGCTTAAGATAAACAGAGGAGACCACACATGACCACATTAACGGGAGGAAGGAGGCAATCTGGTTGAAAGGGGTCACCGGCATTACGAAGCAACATTTAGTAAGTGGTAGTGAATGATGAGCCTGTGGGATATTGATAGTCTACCATCAATGAGAGTGAACTCATTCTAATTAAATCAGCATGTGTGCACCATTCTGGTGACCCAGTTTTACACTACCCATTACAGAAATACCATGGGGACCAGTAGGTACCCTCCTAGAATTAAAATTATCATGAGAAACATATCTAGTTTTTCATTTTCACAATTGAAAAATCTTGAGAACATTATTAATTTGATGATGAACTTATCTTCTGTTAATTTTAGATTTTAGAGAATTCTACTATAATACAATATTGAACTTTAAACATCTTAATATATATGTATTTCTTTTTTTTGTTTGGAGACAGAATCTCAGTCCATCAACAAGGATGGAGTGCAGTGGCACCATCTTGGCTCACTGCAACCTCCACCTCCCAGGTTCAAGAGATTCTCCCGTCTCAGCCTCCAGAGCAGCTAGGCTCACATCACCACACCTGGCTAATTTTTTTTTTTGAAATGACAACATAAGTGTTTAATGATCTTCACCATGCTTTCCATTCCCAGTAAAAAGTAAAAACTCATAGATTTTAAGTGGGGTGGGGAGTAGTGAATGGGAGAAAACAAGTTTTAGGGAAGGACAGCCAAACTGTCTAATCTAGGCTCTCGTTAACCTCAACAGTCTTTGAGGCACCATGAAGCTGTTACAAAGCCATGACTAATGCTGCCTCTAGATGGAAGCATAACTAATTATAAAGGTGATTCTTGCCAGCCGCTGTGGTGCAACTATAGTTCCAGCTACTTGGGAGTCTGAGGAGGGAGAATCACTTGAGCCTAAGAGTTCAAGGCTAGTCTGGGCAACACAGTGAGACTCTACCTCAAAAAAAAAAAAAAAAAAAAAAAAGCAAAAGGTGATTCTCTAGAGAGCGAACTCTGGGATATTGGAGAGTAACAATTTAATGATCTCATTTCTGCCTACTTAGAAGAAACTCCTCTCCTTTTGCTGTATGGGGACTGTTACTTCAAGCAGAAAGGACATCAGCAAAGAGTAAAATCGATACCTTTTACTCTCCACATTACAATAGTTCTCAAGCAAAGCTTGGATTTTCTACTTAATCAGTATTGATCCAAAGGTATCCAGAATGAAGTGATTTTCGGCATTTATCCTTTGCTAATCTTGCTATTATGAATCCCGAAATTGGTATGACACATTTCAAGGGTGCAACTTAAAGTAAGTCTACACAACATGTAAGGCTAACAATTGCCGCATATTTTAATGAGAAAAACATCAAAAAAACTTCTCAAATTGTTTTCCAGTGGCATAGCCAATGGATACTTTTTTAAAGCTGCAAACAAATAAATGGTACTGATACTGTGTTAAAGGCCCCCTGGGTATGCTTCCATCATAGCATCTCCATCCTCCAACTACAATAAATGCTAAGACTGATTAAGCCCTTAGGTTAAAAGGCCATGTCTACTGGAAATACTACAGGATCCGCTACTGTCTCCATTAAGGCAAACCATTTCTAAATGATGGTGAAAGGAATGTGTCTGAAATCTCCCAATTGTAAAGGACCTGAAAAGAAAGTATAAAAACAGCAAGAAAATGGGTACATATATAGAATCACACCATCTTTTCATCATGCAACATTGGCTCCTCACATCAGGAAGATTAAATAGGATATTTATACATATTCTTTGTACACATCTTTCTCTCCCTCTGTGAGTACACATGTACTTGTCCTTGCCTGGGTCTCCAAGGCTACATGTGGTAATGGGCTACATTTGCTGAACCAGAGTCCAGTTTGGTTTTGTTTCTTGCTGAGGATATGTTCTAGGTCTTCTCTTAATTTTTCCAGATATCCACATACACCACAGACTCTGACTTGTTAATCTTGTCACTGTGATGTCCACCAGAGTGGTCTAACTGTGCATATATGACTGGGACCTGGTGAGATCCAGAAGGCAGTCTCTTTACAAAACCCTCAGTGTCACAGTGGGACTTCCGAGGAGCCTGTTTAACTGGTGACAAACTCTCTGATGTAACCCCGTTTAAAGTTTTTCCTTCTATAGAGGACAGCCAGAATCATGCTGATGAGCAGAGTGAGACCTAGGATCACAGTAGTAACTATGCCCCCCACTACCCAAACTGGAAACCCAGGCAAACTCTCTTTTTCTACAACATAGAGCCTAATGTGTCCAGACTGGAAAACAATGTCAGGAGGGTTTTTGACATCACAGCTATAGGTGCCATTGTGTATAGACTGCATATTTTCTGTGTTGATTGATGCATCTTTCTTGTCAAGGTCTTCAGCCCAGCTGATTCTGTCTTTAAATAGTGGATAATTCCCAAGGTACACTTGCCCTTAGGAATAGTGGAAAAATGACATGGTGGTGTCAGCCCCCTCTGGCTGGAAGCTCCAGAAGACTGAGGTCAACCCGCCAGTCATATTAGTACACTTGAACTTGCAGGTCAGCTTCCCTCATGTACCATTTGCCATGAAGATTTCTTTTGGTGTATATGCTTCCAAGGCTGGTACTCCAGCTGTCAAGAGCCCCAGCACCACTGCCAGCACTGACCACAGCCAGCGCCTCCTGTCTGGGGCTGCAATAACTGTCCCAGCTCTGGCAGGCGCTGCCATTGTCCAGCCACTGCAGTCGCTGCCGCTGTGCCTCTGAGTCCGGGTCCCCGCTGAGGTTGGCTCGGCTTGCGGAAGAAGGTTTTGATCTCTCTGCCACCCGTGCTGGGTAGCATCTCCATGCCACACTCCCTACTCTGGACCCAGCTGTGGCTCGCCAGATCTGCACCCTAGCCACAGTCCCGCTCCGGCCACACTTGGCTAATTTTTTTTATGTTTAGTAAAGATGAGGTTTCACCACGTTTGCCAGGCTAGTCTCGAACTTCTGACCTCAAGTGATTTGTTCACCTCAGCCTCTCAAAGTGCTGGGGATTACAGGTGTGAGCCACTGCACCTGGTCATAATATGAATATTTATTTATTTAGACAGAGTCTCGCCCTGTTGCACAGACTAGAGTGCAATTGCACGATCTTGGCTCACTGCAACCTCTGCCTTCCAGGTTCAAGTGATTCTCTTGCCTCAGCCTCCCAAGTAGCTGGGATTACAGGCGCACACCACCATGCGCAGCTAGTTTTTTGTATTTTTAGTAGAGATGGGGTTTCACCATGTTGGCCAGGCTTGTCTCGAACTCCTGACCTTAAGTGATCCACCCACGTTGGACTCCCAAAATGCTGGGATTACAGGCGTGGGCCACCGCACCCAGCCATGAATATTTCTTTAATGTATGAACAGTTACGTAGATATTTGCTCTTAGAGTAACATAATAAAAGTAACAATTAGAGAAAACATTTGAAATGGGATAAAATTAATCAAAACCACATCTTTTCAATGGCTTGGCATAATTGCCATGCTTTTTGAAATGGCCAGATTACTAGCAAGAAGCAAAGACAAGATTTTGGCTTTGCTCAATCATTAAGTTATTGACCTTATGAGATCTAAAATCCTGGCTAAAGGATTTGAAAGGTGTATTCTTTAGGTGGCTTCCTAGGGTATCCAAGAAAATGCAAGAAGACTTTTGAAGTTAGGCAGGAGAATGCATTCGATATACATTGCTCTTCTCTGATTTGCTTTAACATTAAAAGATTGAAGATTGCAAATCTAATCTCTCTATGTAGAGTAAATTAGGAAAGGATTTATTTTTCATCCAGGGAAATAATTGTATAAAACTAATGGGAGTGTGGTGGCTCACATCCGTAATCCCAGCACTTTGGGAGGCCAAGGCGGGCAGATCACTTGAGGTCAGGAGTTTGAGACCAGCCTGACCAGCATGGTGAAACCCCATCTCTAGTAAAAATACAAAAAATTAACCGGGTGTGGTGGCGCATGCCTGTAGTCCCAGCTACCTGAGAGACTGAGGCAGGAGAACGGCTTGAATCTGGGAGGCAGAGTTTGCAGTGAGCCAAGATTACGCCATTGCACCCCAGGCTGGGTGACAGAGCAAGACTCTGTCTCAAAAAAAAAATTAATTAATTAATTAATGGGTAACAGATACCGTTAGCTGCCAAAAAATAGTATGACTAGATTCAGTAAGTATCTAGCCATGCAAATAACAGTCTATTAAGTTAAGACTCTAATATGTGTATGTGGACAGCATTTATGTGCAATGTGATGCACTTCTACTCAGCACCTTCTTTTGCCTGCTTGCAGAGGTATCAATTTCCCCTGAGTGATTCAGGGTGCGTACTGATAATTGAGAATGCTGTGTTCAGAGGAATTACTAGGAATATCATTAACACAATTTTTTCCATATTTTTTTTTTTTTTTTTTTTTTTTTGAGACAGAGTCTGGCTCTGTCACCCAGGCTGGAGTGCAGTGGCGGGATCTCTGCTCACCGCAAGCTCCGCCTCCCGGGTTTACGCCATTCTCCTGCCTCAGCCTCCGGAGTAGCTGGGACTACAGGCGCCCGCCACCTCGCCCGGCTAGTTTTTTGTACTTTTTAGTAGAGACGGGGTTTCACCGTGTTAGCCAGGATGGTCTCGATCTCCTGACCTCGTGATCCGCCCGTCTCGGCCTCCCAAAGTGCTGGGATTACAGGCTTGAGCCACCGCGCCCGGCCTTACTCTGCCTCACAAAGGCTTTTAGTAAAAGATTGTTTATTTACAGTGCTCGATTTGAATTCATGGGAAATTTCAATATTCCAGGTAAGTCAGAGACACTTAAGTGTCAACAAAATTCCATAATACATACTTGAATGAGATAAAGTCTTCTTAGCTAAGAATTTTATTTTATCCATAAATTTAGAGAAGAACAGAAAACCAGTACTTTGGGCCAAATAACAGTGTTTGACATGGAATTACCACCCAAGCAAGTGCTCTCCAACATCATCATTAAAATAGCAATAGCACCATGTGCTTTCCTAGAGACAGCTGGCCTGTTTTGCACTGATATAAAGTGGAGAAGGCATTGAAATAATGAAGGGGGGTGATATACATTGAATAATCATATGAAATACAATTTTTAATAAAAAGAAGCATTTGAAGTTGTATAACTATAGATAAGACTGTTAGTATGAGGTTATGATATTTTTACTTCTTTTTTTTTTTTTTTTTTTTTTTGAGACTGAGTCTCACTCTGTCACCCAGGCTGGAATGCAGTGGTGCAATCTCTCGCTGCAACCTTGGCCGCCCAGGTTCAAGAGATTCTCCTGACTCAGACTCCTGAGTAGCTGGGATGACAGGCACCTGCCACCATGCCCAGCTAATTTTTGTAGTTTTTAGTAAAGACAGGGTTTCACCATCTTGGCCAAGCTGGTCTTAGAACTTCTGACCTCCTGATGCACCCACCTTGGCTTCCCAAAGTGCTGGGATTACAGGTGTGAGCCACCGCGCCTGGGCAATATTTTTACCACTATTGATAGGATAACTTCATTCACAATATTCTTATTTAAAATATTCCTTTTCTGTGGTATATTTGCTAGCTTTTGGTCAAACATTACCTGAGCTCAATAGAAATCAACAAAATGAATCTTTATTTTACCACAAGCATTTTATTTTTTATTTATTTATTTATTTATTTATTTATTTATTTATTTTTGAAATGAAGTCTTGTGTCGCCCAGGCTGGAGTGCAGTGGAGCAATTTCGGTTCACTGAAGCCTCCACCTACCGGGTTGCAGCCATTCTCCTGCCTCAACCTCCCGAGTAGCTGGGAATACCGGTGGTGCCACCACACCCAGCTAATTTTTGTATTTTTAGTAGAGACGAGGTTTCACCATGTTGGCCAGGCTGGTCTCAAACTTCTGACCTCAGGTGATCCATCTGCCTCAGTCTCCCAAAGTGCTGGGATTACAGGCAAGAGCCACTGTGCCTGGCCAGAAGCATTTTGTTATCGATGCATATGCTTTCTATGCTAAAAATACATTAGCTTTTTATGAAAAAAAATCTTTCTTTCTTTTTCTTCCTTTTTTTTTTTTTTTTTTTTCTGAGACAGAGTCTCACTCTGTCACCCAGGCTGGAGTGCAGTGGTGCGATTTCGGCTCACTGCAACCTCTGCCACCTGTGTCCAAGCGATTCTCCTGCCTCAGCCTCCCGAGTAGCTGGGACTACAGGTGCCTGCCATTGCGCCTGGCTAATTTTTGTATTTTTAATAGAGACAGGGTTTCACTGTGTTAGTCAGGATGGTCTCGATCTCCTGACTTCGTGATCCACCCACCTCGGCCTCCCAGAGTGCTGGAATTACAGGTGTGAGCCACCGCGCCCGGCTCTTTCTTTTCTTTCTTTTCTCTCTTTTCTTTCTTTTCTTTCTCTTCTCTCTTTTCTCTCTTTCTCTCTTTCTTTTCTTTCTCACTGTGTTGCCAAGCCTGGAGTGCAGTGGTGTGATCTCAGCTCCCTGCAACCTCTGCCTCCCGGGTTCAAGCAATTCTCCTACTTCAGCCTCCCAAGTAGCTGGGACTTCAGGTGCTTGCCACCACACCCAGCTGATTTTTTTTTTTTTTTTTTTTTTTAACTAGAGATGGGGTTTCACTATGTTGGCCAGGCTCGTCTTGAATTCCTGACCTCATGATCTGCCTGCCTTGGCCTCCCAAAGTGCTGGGATTACAGGTATGAGCCACCACACCCAGCCTATACTTTTCTTTCAGTGTTATTTATTGCTGAGAAGTGTCCTGCCAGGAAACTGCTATAATTAATCAGCTCTACTTACATTACTAATAGTGAGTTGTTGATGTGTGAATAGGAAACAGGTGTGTCTTCTCTGTGTCTCTTTTTAAATTTATTCACAAAAGAGGAGGATGCCGATAGAAGATGAAGAAAGATATGATCTTCCCCTTTCTTTGTCATCATGTGTGAAGTCAGGGAATAGGTAACATGGCACCCACCAGGTAGAGAATTCATCTGCATATTAAAAGATTAGGGTGCGATGGAAAGCTTCTTCACACACTATGTAATTGGCACACCTGTTCCAACAAATCCTCGGTGCCCTATGTAAATCAGACACCACCTCCTCAAGCACATCTATAAAACCAAATGCATCTTGCCATGAATGAAGAGATCTGTTCAGAACCCTCTGCTTCTGCATGAGGGAGCTTTTCTCTCTTGTTTATGAAATTTTCTCCCTTAAACTCACTCCTTGCATGTCTGTGTCCTTGATTTCCTTGGCATGAGCAAGGAACATGGGGTATTACCCCAGACAAATGATGCTGCTTCACGGCCACAAATATAATTGAAATATATTTGTATTTTCAGCTTGTGTAGGCATTGGCAAGCCTTCTTCCAGAATGTAGTAGCAACTTATACTACTTGTTTATATGAGGAATTATTTATTATCTAATTATCCTTATTTTCTAAACCCTACAGTAAACACTCTGTGAAGACAGAGACCTTTAATTTCATTCACCACTATATTTGCAATTTTTCAATTAAGTACGTAAATTTGATTTGACTTTGAAGCATTTATTTATTTATTTATTTATTTAGAGACTGAGTCTTGCTCTGTCGCCCAGGCTGGAGTGCAGTGGTGCGATCTCGGCTCACTGCAAGCTCTGCCTTCCTGGTTCACACCATTCTCCTGCCTCAGCCTCCCGAGTAGCTGGGACTACAGGTGCCTGCCACCGCGCCCTGCTAATTT